GCTGTCATGGCCTGTTGGCCAAGTCTGTAGCCCCTATCTGTGAAAGAGGACACTAGATTGATTATTTTCAGCTAATTTGTAGTAAGCAACTGTTCAAGGTCAAAAAATGAACCTACTTCTAAAGCAATATTTTAAAACTCTGAGTTGTGAGCCATTAATGGTCATGAAATCAATTTCCTGTTTGTAATCAGCAATTTTGAAAACTAAAATAGAATAAAAAGCATCAGGGCATGACACATAGTAAGAGTAAGCATGGTTTTGTGGAACTTTTAAGTTTTATTTATCTGTACACTCATATATAAACCATCATATAAGCATATGTTGTTGATGTTGTTAATTGCCGTCATGTGGATGGTTCTAATGGCAACCCTGTGTATGTAGAATAGAACTGTTCCGTAGGGTTTTCAAGGCTATGACTTTTTGGAAACACACCGAGGAGTCTCTGGGTGGGTTTATTACTAAAAGAAATAAATAATAATTTATGAATAAACATTTATTTTTAAGGCATAGAATAGTCTAAATTCAAATATTGGTTTAAGAAAAAAAATTTGAATTACACAGGAACAGAGTCTTACTGATACACTCAATTTACATTACTAAGTAGAGCATTAAGCTGCTCCTTTCAGGTTGAGTGCTTAATAATTTGAACAACTCAGGGACGCCATATATATATACACGTATATATATATATACATACCATTTTATACATACATACCATGGTTACTTTGTAAAATGTATTTCTTACTATATGTCACGGTCAAGATAATTAAAACTCTTTGGATCTTAAGCACTGAGGTAGTGGGGGAAACCACAATCATCAAGTCCTGTCTCACCAAGGGAAGCATTTTAAATAAATACCACCCATTTCCTTTGTTCGGCCTTGGATTGCCTTCCCAATATGTTAGTTTCTTCAGCGGGCTATAGAAGCCTCACAAAGAAACTCTCTGCCTACCAAACTTTGATCATCAACATCCCCAAATGTACCATATCTCAACTGTTATCCCCCTAAACACACAAGAGAAATGACTTTCACAAGCATGTGAACCACACAACCCTTTGGTCAGACCTAGATTTCCGGGCTGTGGCAGAGATAAACTCTTTATTATAAAGAAATTCCTTGAGAGTTCTCTGTAACTTATCCCTGTCTCCCTTTCAAGAAAGCATTGTTGTTGTTGTCATTGGATAGGTTCCTAATCATGGCAACCTTACGTATAACAGAACCAAACAGTGCCTGGTCCTGTGCCATCCTCATGATCGTCGGTACGTTTGAATCTGTTGTTGCGGCTATTATGTCAATCTATCTCATTGAAAGTTGCCCTCATTTTTGCTGATCCTCTACTTTACCAAATATGATGTCTTTTTCTAGCAATTGGTCTTTCCTGATGAAGTGTCCAAGTCGCAATTTTCCCATCTAAGGAACACAAACCAAACCTGTTGCTGTTGAGTCGTCTGTGGCTCCTAGTGACCCTATAGGACAGAGTAGAACTGCCCCCATAGGGTGTCCAGGGAGTGGTTGGCAGATTGGAACTGCTAACTTCTTGGTTAGCAGCCGAACTGTTAACCACTGCACCACCAGGGCTCCAGTCTAAGGAACATAATGTGATAGAAACTAGTGACAGTGATCAGGATAAACTTGGATCCACTCTAATACTTACTTTAAGAGAAAGCCATTTGCAAGCTTCAATTTATTGTAACTCTTTACTAACAAAGATGTCAGACATACCTCACAACTGTGTCATTGAGACAACATAGTTGAGAATTGTTGTAGAAAGCTGAGAGTATGTTCCTATATCTCTCTCTACTTTCCAGAACTGAACACAATTTTCCACACAACTGGCCAATTCAGTGGCGCCCTGTGGCACAGTGGCTAAGAGCTCAGCTGCTAACTAAAAGGTCAGCAGTTCGAATCCACCAGCCACTCCTATAGTTCTAGTCTGTCCTACAGGGTCACTATGAGTCCGAATTGACTCCATGGCAATGGGTTTGTTTTTGGGCCAATTCAGTGTCTTTTGCACGATTAAGAACACCTCCCAAAACTTCATCAATATGAATGGCTTTCCCACAGTGGTTTCTTTCTTTTTTTTAGGGTTAAGATCTGTTATGAAATACATTCATCTTCTTCTCTGATTTTTTTCCTCTTTAGGTTTAGGCCTTTGGATAAACAACAAGTTTGGGGTTAATAGAAATATAAGGAGCAGATCACGACAGGTGAAGAATTCCTGTATTTTAGCACTCAGACTTTATCTGTCTTCGATTGGAAATGGAAACTCAGGGAGTTGAAGGGACTTGCTAAAAGTCATGAGGCTAATTAAGAGTGCCAGAGATTCCCACACTGTAATGGCATTTCTCCTCGGATGGATTAAGCTCCAGCATGTATGATTTATTAAGAACTCATTCAACAGATTGTAGGTATGTTTCTCAGAGTGAAGAGTATCAGGCCTGTTGACCAAGACTACATTTGAGGAAGAGATAACAAAGGGAAAATCTTAACACACTAAGGAAGTACCAATAAATTTATTCAGTTAATCGATTATCATTTAACTTACCGGCGCACAGGATACAAAGATGATCAAGACCGAGCTTGCCCTCAAGAGTATATACTGTAGCACAGAAAATGATCATATGTACAATTAGTTATGATACAACATTGTCAGGTCATAGTGGTGGAATAAGCCAGTGAAATATATACAGAAAATCAGTGATTAATTTTGCCTGGGGCTTTAGCTGTTGTAGGTGTACTTGTGGTGTGCGTGGAGGCCAGGGTCTGTGTTGGGCACTCATTCAGGAACAAGGTCAGATGTGAAAATGACCACATATGTTATCAGTCTATTTGAGAAGCCAGGTGGTCTCATGAAACTTTCTCAAACTTTAATGGGGATTGTGATTTTTGTAGGTAGATCTGGGGTGGAGCCTGAGATTCTGCATTTCTAACTACATAGATCCCAGGTGGTGTCCATGCTACTCTTCCAAGGACCACACTGTGAGGAGCAGAAGTCTAGTGACCAGAGGTTTGGCATCAGAGGGAAGTGATTTTTTCATCCCATCTTTACTTCCTATAGGAACCCTGGTGGCACAGTGGTTAAAGTGCTCAGCTGCTAACTGAAAGTTCGATGGTTCGAACCCACCAGCCACTCCATGGGAGAAAGATGTGGCAGTCTGTTCCCGTAAAGATTACAGCCTAAGAAACACTACGGGGCAGTTCTACTCTGTCCTATATGGTTGCTATGACTCAAAATCGACTTGACAGCAATGGGTTGGGTTTTATCTCCTGTAGCTGGCAATATTTGGGTAAATTACTGACGATCAGCTTCCTTCTCTGTAAAAATGGCCATAATGTTATATACCCTGCAGCTTATTGTAAAGATTGAATGAGAATATTAAGTACCAGGCTCAAGACAAAGTAAAAGCTCAATGACAGCTGTTGTTGTGTGCTGTTGAGTTGATTCCAACTCACTATTGTTGTTGCTTTTGTTGTTGTTGTTGTTGTTGTTAGGTGCCATCAAGTCAGTTCCAACTCATAGTGACCTTATATACAACGGAACCAAACACTGCCTGATCCTGTGCCATCCTCGTAATTGTTGCTATGTTTAAGCCCATTGTAGTAGCCACTATGTCAATCCATCTTGTTGATGGTCTTCCTCTTTTTCACTGATCCTCTACTTTACCAAGCATGATGTCCTTCTCCAGGGACTGTCCCTCCTGATAACATATCCAAAGTACATGGAGCACTCAGGCTGTACTTCTTCCAAGACAGATTTGTTCATTCTTCTGACAGTCCATGGTACATTCAATATTCTTCACCAACACCAGTAATTCAAAGACATCAATTCTTCTTTTGTCTTCCTTATTCATTGTCCAGCTTTCGCATGCATGTGAGACTATTGAAACTACCATGGCTTGATTCAGGCGTACCTTAGTCCTTTTGCAGCAGACTTGCCCAATGCAATACGTCTTTTGATTTCTTGACTGCTGCTTCCATGGGTGTTGATTGTGGATCCAAGTAAAATGAAATCCTTGATAACTTCAATATTTGCTTCATTGATCATGATGTGGCTTATTGGTCTAGTTGTGAGTATTTTTGTTTTCTTTATGTTGAGGTATAATCCATACTGGCAGCTGTAGTCTTTGATTTTTATCAGTAAGTGTTTCTTCAACTCCTCTTGCTTTCAGCAAGCAAGGTTGTGTCATATGCATATTGCAGGATGTTAATGAGTCTTCCTCCAATCCTGATGCTGAGTTCTTCTTCATTTGGTCCAGCAACCATATATAACAGAGTAGAACTGCCCCATAGGATTTCCAAGGCTATAATCTTTGTGGAAGCAGATCACCGGGTCTATTCTCCCCACAGAGCTGCTAGTGCATTCAAACTGTTGACCTTTCAGTTAGCAGCTAAGCATTTAACCATTACTCCACCAAACTCGTTGAAACCAAACTCGTTGCTGCTGAGTCAATCCTGACTCATAGTGACTCTATAGGACAGAGTAGAACTGCCCCATAGGGTTTCCAGGGAGTGGCTAGTGGATTTGATCTGCTGACCTTTTGGTTAGCAGCCAAGCTCTTAACCACTGTGCCACCAGGGCCCCATTGCACAATCAGGGCTCCTCAATTAGAGTTAGTCCTAATGATACATAATTGCTTTAGAAATAAATTTGGCCCCAAAGAACAAAATTCACTTAGAAATCCTCCTCATATGAATCCATTCAAAGTCTCATGATCCTTTTTTAAAGTAAATATCCCTGATGTGTAGTTGTTTTTACAGCAAATTAAAGCATTAAGATTTTCCCTGAGGCAATAACAAAACAATGGCCAAGTCAGATAAGAAAACAGGAAGTATTACGCCTAGTCCCATAACCTAACCACTAACCCACTCAACCTTTTCAATAATGAAGTGATGTAACTGATGGGTGAAATATGGGAAATTTTGGAACTTCGCAATATAGCCGAGGCAAAAAGACCTGCAATAACATAGTTTCATAAATCTAAGCTTACTTAATGTACTTGGGAATAGATAATCTGAGTTTAACAGTAACCACATTTGCATAGGGTTTTACTGTTTCCTTTTCTCATTCATTTGCCATTTGAGCCTAATGAAAGCCTGTGACAGTCAGGAAGGTGAGGAATTTTTATGTCTATTTTACAGATGAGGAAACTGAGGCCTACTGAGGTGAAGTGACTTCTTTACTCTACTGCAAACAAAGCCCTGACCCAGGTAGGCTGACTCTAAGTAATCTACTGATTTGTTTTGCCATCGGGGGAAATGGAAAGGGTAGTGGTGCCAAGGGTTTCCTGTTGAGGGTGGGCAGTGGGCAGCAAAGAAGCTTTGAGAGTGAATGCATTTTTTTCTTTTTTTTTTTTTGCCTTCTGGTCAACTGTGGCTTCAAAGATTTACTGCCTGTGTTCTCAGCAACATTTGTTGGGCTGGAGTTAAGTAAATCAATTTGAAGGGGGAACAAAATCTCACAAGACTTATTTTAAAAACACTCTGGCCTATTGCCCTGAGATGATCTTTAAACCTTAAACCAAAAATATTCCCTGAAGTCATATTAAAACCGAACAATAGTTTAGCTTAACTAGTAAAAAAGACCTACCTTGAGCATTGAGAACTATCTACAGAGGCTGAAATTGACAACAGCAACTCGAAAGGTTAGATAGGAAACTTAGGGGGCAGTGAGTTTATGTTAATGAGGGAGGAATAACTCAGAAAAGGATGGTAAGAATGGTACTCGAAAAACGTAATCAATGTCACTGAATGGTACACATAGAAACTGTTGAATTAGTGTATGTTTTGCCATGTGTATTCTCAACAACAACAAAATAAATAAAATTTAGAAAAAAAAATGAACGGAGGGGGAAAAAACACTTTGGCAAACTCACAAGTAGCATTTTTGGGATTCACCCAATTTTTTTCTTGATTTCAATATGCCTTTTTTTTGGCTTCAGTTTTTTCCTGTTTTTTCTTTTTTTCTGATAAAATTCCAATTTAAGGAAGTTTGGCTAATTATGAAAACATTCATGTATGAAATTCATTCAGATTTCCCTTTTGTTAGGTATATTTCAACATTTATTTATTAATACCTGGAAAGTATAAAGTTGTTTTTAAAAATGGAATTAGCACTTTATATTTTAAGTAGGATAATTATTTTGCATATTAAGCCACATCATTTTGACTGGATTTTTCTTCAGATGAACTATAACTAGTAGTTAAGAGCTCGGCTGCTAACCAAAAGGTCAGCAGTTCGAATCTACCAGCCACTCCTTGGAAACCCTATGGGGCAGTTCTACTCTGTCCTATAGAGTCGCTATGAGTCAGAATCAACTCAACGGCAATGGGTTCTAAAATAGAAGATGAACTAAATTTAAAAAAAAAAATGATACCGTAGAAAACATGGCAGCATATACCACTATAAGACAAGCTAGTTTGCTTGACACTGAACTATCCAGGGATCTTTAGTCATGATTTTTTGACTCAATGATCATAGACGTTTACAAAACTGACACTAAGGAACAACAAGATTCATTCAGCAAATACACTTGATAAACATTCACTGGGCACAGCCGAGAATTAAATAGACAAAGCCCTGCCTTCAAAGAATTAACATTCCAGCGCTTTCTCAAATATTTTCTGATCATGAAATAGGTAGTCTGCTTGTATCTTTGGAGTTGAATATTTCATTGTATTCTTTTAATATTCTTTGAATTAGCTATTGATTATGACATGGTAAATTTCTATCCTTCACTATTTATCAAATTCCTTGAAGGTGGGAACCATGTCTTGGTCATCCTTTTATATTCCTGTAGTGATCAGCAGAGCACTTGCACTCAAAGGGGCACTGAGTACACATTTGTGAATTAAAGTTTTTGGATGGAATTATTTAGAGAATTTGACTAACTGATCACATTCAGTAGTAGAATCTATTAGATAAATAGATAGTTTTCATCCTAAATTTCCTGTTGAGAATCAGGATCAAATATGAGGCTGGGGTGAAGAGAAGGTCCATTTCTTTTAAAGTATATAACTAACCTACTCCCAGCTTTAAGAAGAAAAAACAATTAACTTTTTTTTTTCCTTATAATGACAGCTCTGACCCCATTCAAGAGTTCATGGTTGCCACAAAGCAGAAAACTTGGTCAAAATACATAGGTGCCTACAGGCCAGCACACGTTAAAACTCAAATCCCAAGTAGATTATAAATCTCATCAGGTTGGATTTACATAAGCAATGAAATTTAGGAGTCCCCTAAAATCATAACTATTACTCACTGGTAGAATGACTGGCTGAAGTGAATTTGCCAATCTCAAGAGCATCAAATATCCAGATAATGAAAGGGCTTATGCCTTCCCTGATATAACAACTATCTCTGTGTAAGCTTACAATCCGTCTATTCTAAATATAAAGGATGCAGCGGAGTGTTTGCTTGGGTAACTTGTCTATTTCTTCCAAGACCCTATAATGATCTGACAAAAATATATGATCCTTGAGAACTAGTATTATTAGAATTATATTTTATAACAGTACTGACCCTATAAACTTCATTTTCCTTTCAACTCAGAATTTTTCCCATCCAGTTTGTCATCATCGCTTGTATAATTAAATAACTAACTCAGGTTATCTGGAAACCAATAAAATACAAGTCACAAAACAAGTTTTTTTGACCTTGCCAATTATGCTGTGGACTGATCAGCTGTCACAATCTATGTTTCTTAGAAAGGAAGGAGCCACAGGTGGTAGCAATTAAATCTAAGTCGATTCAATGTGTCTGAAAGAACCTGATGTAACCAGTGGCATGCTGGTCAATGTTTAACAACCAGCTCTCTGAAAAGAAGAGAAAACAGCCCTGATTATAGTGTTTGTTGATTTCATGGTATAAATACTCTCACCATGGCCATTTTCAAGCCAAAAACAGGAAATCACTGAACTCACAATCGGGAAGAGAGCTTACCATCTGCTCTGGAGAATTGGTAGAAGTTGGCTCCATCACACCACTGAATATACATTAATAAAATGGGCTCTCATTTTCACAAACCCGCTAAAATTGTCCAGGTCTGTTCTGATAAAATGACTGACATTCAGAAGAAAGGAATCCATGACATGTCTTAATATATAAAGCCCTACTAGAACAATGGAGTCCCTGGGTGGTGCAAATAATTAACTCAATTAGCTGCTGATTGAAAGGTTGGAGGTTTGAGTCCACCAGAGGCACCTGGAAGGAAAGGCCTAGTGATCTACTTCCAAAAAATCAGCCATCGAAAACCCTATCGAGCACAGTTCTACTCTGACACATATGGGGTCACCATGAGTTGGAATCGACTTGACAGCAACTGGTTATTAGAACAATAGGGATAGTATTTCATAAACTTTTGCAATATAAAAAGCTGAAGACAACAGTTTTGTTAATAAACGTGGATGTCATCTTTTTGTCCAAGATAATATAATTTAATAATGTATAATTTTAATGGTTCAAACTTCACTAGAAATTTAAAAAGTAAAAAAAGATATATATATATTATTCAACATTTTTTACATCTAGAGTGCATCCCTCTAATAAAACAATTTAAATACTACTCTAATCAAATTTCATTAAAATATTGGGAAAACATTACAATTCCCTGACTTCTTAGACAATGTACAATGGATGTCATTAAATTCCAGGTTCTTCAACATGACTGAACCTTGAAATGATGATGCTGAGTGAAATAAGTCAGGGGCAGGCAGGAGGGAGGAGAAAACGAAGACACAAAGCTTAGGAGACTCTTAGCTTCTGTTAAGGGTGATGGAAAAATTCAGGAATGGTTAATGATGATGGTTGAACAACATGATGAATATATTCAATGTTACTGAACTGTACATGTGAAGATTGTTGGGATGGTAAATGTTTTGTTACCTATGTATTTACTACAATTGAAAAAAAAAAGGATTCCAGGTTCTTTTTTAAGGCATGAAGTATTGGACTGACTGGTCTGTTAAACACTGAGGTGAACTGAGGAGCTATTTAAATAAACTGAGCTGTGGGAATCCCCATGCTCACTGGGGTGTTCTTGAGTATTTACGTTGGCTTTTTATATTTTTCCTTGCGTTTCATCCTTTCTGCCTGCTGTGAGCTGTCACTTGCTGTCTGAGTGACAGCCTCTGGCTATTCCACTGCCTCCTCCTCATTTCCGTATTTGCTGCTTCTAACCTGCTGAGGGCTAGGGAACAGAACAGCTCCTCGAACTTCTTTGCCTTGTGTATAAAATAGACTCCAACAGAGGGCCTTGAGGGCTCTCCTATGAGTAAAGAGCAATGATTTCAATCCGTCGATTTTGACATCTAGTTTCCCTAGTGGAACTTAATCTGTACATTTCTTTCCCAAAACAAGGGAAAATGTACCAAGGTGGCCATGATTCTGTACAATTTAAGTGGAGTTTGAGCTCTATTGTCTACAAACTAGCTAAGGGTTTACTATTGTCTCTCATCTTATAATACCTTGAAATATTAACAGTGATTCTTTCTCAGGGGCGAGGGAAGAAGGGAGGCTATCTCAGGTCATCGAAGAATAGACCTGTCCTGCTAATTAGAGTTGGATTCCAGAAATGAAATCTACTCTCTGTGCCTCTTCCAGTTCAGGGTTCTCTACTTTCTCTAATTTGTCAACTTATTGTTATTGGAACCCTGGTGGTCCAGTGGTTAAGAGTTCAGCTGCTAACCAAAAGGATGGCAGTTCAAATCCACCAGCGGCTCTTGGAAACCCTATAGGGCAGTTCTACTCTGTCCTATAGGGTCACTATGAGTTAGAAGCGACTTGTCGACAGCAGATTTGGTTTAGTTGTTATCGTTAGCTGCTGTCGAGATGACAACTCATAGTGACCCCAAGCACAACCGAACAAAATGCTGCCCGGTCCTGTGCCGTTCCCATGATCAGTTGCGGACTGGACCCTGTGACCCATAGAGTTTTCATTGGCTGATTTTCAGAAGTAGATTGCCAGGCCTTTCTTCCTAGTCCATCTTAGTCTGGAAGCTCCACTAAAGTCTGTTCAGCATCATAGCAACATGCAAGCCCCCACTGACAGACAGGCAGTGGCTGCGCATAAGGTACACTGGCCAGAAATCAAACCAGAGTCTCCCCGAGAGGAGAGAATGCTACCACTGAACCACCAATGCCTTACCTATGTTGTTGTTGGTTGCTGTTGTGTCGGCCCCCAACCCATGACAACCCCATGCATAATAAAATG